TAGCCCATTGGATGCCAATATGTCCCGTTCCTCCTGCAGAAGCTGTAATCAACACTTTATCTCCTTTTTGAATGCGACCCAACTTTTTGTTAATTATTATAAATTAGTAACATTTCAAATAATTTTACAGTAATTAATACCTCATCCAATCCAATAGTTGCTGTTAAACCCGCGATTAATAATCCAAGAAATTCTGGTTTAAGACTCGGAATTGGTATCACTTCTTCTGGTTTTACATACTATTCATTAATAAATAAAAATTAAATTTAATATATTAAATAGAAATATAAATTATTTGTAAGTCTCATAATTACTAACCAAATATTCTGAATAAGCCCTGGGAGGATTGACACCAAATGTCATTACATTCTGTCCTACTTTATGAGTGGTTACATTCTTGCCAACTGCTTCGATAACACCCAGACCCTTTACAATAATTATATGAAATTATAATTGTCAATAAAAACAATGACTGATTGAATGAACACATACTTCTAGTCCCACATCGAAAGGCAACTCTGCGTTTGGGTCATATCTGGAAGCAGTTATGTTGACATCAGTGGCGTTAACACCGGCGTAGATATTCTTGATGAGCACCTGATCATCACCCGGTGCTACCAGAGGGACAGACACCACTTTTACAGCTTCTCGAAAATTGGATGTCTTCTTAATCACAGATAACTTTTGAAATGTTTTAGACATTTTGATATTTTATGTTAACAACAATAATAATTAAAAGTAGATGTCAAAATATTATACAGTGCTGTTTATATAGTTTCAAACCATTATAGAGTTGTGATATAAATTAGTACTTATAAAGTACTTACTGTCCTTCAACTTTAATTTCATGGCATATACAGTGAATGGATCTAGGTTCTTGATAACTGTTTGTACTCTTCACACTTGCAACCTGTAATTTGTACTAACTCATTCTATATTTTGCACTAAAATAATTCATTAAAAAAATATTTGTTTATTTAAAGTTCAATTGCATTATGATACATAGTTATGAATTATTGAAATAAATTTATTTATTAAATAAGATTGTCTAGACATTGAATGTAGTTAACTAATTATAAATAGACATTAAACGATATAACATTAATATACATATAATTTTATATCTTAAGAAATTCCTTTAAATTTTGTTTATTAATTTTGTTTCTGTGTATTTATTTTACTATTTTTAGAAACTAATTTATTAAAAATTTTAGTAATAAAAAATTCCACTATTAAATGTTTTGTATTGCATTTTAATGATAACTTTTCCAATCTATTCCTACGAATTCTCCTTCACTTGTGTTTTGTCCCAAATCTAACACAACTCGTAATCTATTGCTCTCAATGTCTTCAATCAGTTTCGATCAATACTTGTTGTATAAGTCTTTGTTAGCAAGTATTGAAAACCTGTTCAAAGGTCCACTTCTTATTAGGAGCTATCATCATATATAAAATAATTTTTAACCTTTTGGCAAACAATTTGAACTAGCACCAAAATAAAATGGTATTTATAAATCGTACTCGTGTTGGCAGTTTAGGCTGTGAAACATGAGTAAAACTCATTTTTATTTAAAACATTTTTATAGCCACTAATAGCGCCCACTTCTAAGACGACTCTTTGTGCCAAATGATTGAATAAAGTGTCCACCGATTGTCTCTCAACATCACATCCACTATTCCTTTCCTAAAATAATATTTTATAATAAATTGTATTTTATATTGTATTATAATATTTTATTTTTTAAATATTTTTATTAAATGAAAATTAAACAGGAGACTCTTTACTGAACACTTGATCCAAGTTATAATTGATCACTCGATCGGTTCCCAACTGTCAATAGTTTTGCTTTTTCTGGTGTTGAGGTCAACCCAATAACATACGCCCCTCTGCTTAAACAACTGAACACTATATGTCCCAAACGACGGGCCGATTCTATATTTATTAAAAGTTATTTCACACGAAAACATTGTCCCGAGGATATCGACACAAATTTTTTATAAAATAATCAGAGAATCTTTTTTGAACACGAGTAGTAGGTTTACTAAATGTTAATCAACTGTGGACAGGGACTGAGTATCACCAATTGGTTTATATCATTTTAAAGCCAGATCAATTGTCTATAACCTATGTAAATTTAATAAGATTTAGAATACAATTGATAATTTTATTTGATATTTATAATATTGAATTCTCAGTTTTTGTTTCAAAACCTTACTATTGATCACTAATACTGAACATTAATACAAAGTAAGAAAAGTACGAAAAGTACAAAAAGTGTAATTAACTGAATGACCTTCATAAATATACTATATAAACATTACAATAAAACTGTGTATTGTCTGATGTTAAGTAGTCTTGATTCAGTTATTATATATTTTCAAATAAATCTATGTATTTGATTTGATTGATTAATTAATAGATAACAAAATGTATGCAATCATATTTGGTGTAATAATAGTGATTCTACTATTGCTATGGTTTATGGCCAGACGTGACAGTGATTTACAACTTTGGCTAAATGAAATGTTTGGGCATTCAACAAGTAAGTCAATACAGTACAATACAATACAGTATAATACAATACACTGGTTATTTGATTATATTTCGTAAATAATATTCATTGTTAATGTGTTTTATTATGAATTTGAAGGTAAACTTAGAGGAAAAATAGTATGGATTACGGGCGCGTCGAGCGGTATTGGGGAGGCGCTCGCGTATGAATTGGCTGCTAATGGCGTCAAATTAGCCATTTCTGGCACTAATGTTAGTCGACTTGAAGAAGTGAAGAGGAACTGCATCTGTTAGTCATCAATCATTTGGTATTTTTGTAAAATTCTAAATCAAAACTTATTTTCCAATTAATTATAGCATTCAATCAATTGAAAGAAGAAGACGTCAAGATTCTAAGCTTTAATGTGAAGGACTATTCACAACACCAAAAGCAATTCAATTCAGTCATCACTCACTTTAAAACTGTATGTCTTTCATTCAAATCATATTTATATTTATAAATATAATATTGTAATTATAATAAATAGTAATTATAATGTTTAATATATAGCTCGATATTCTGGTGTCCAATGCGGGTAAGGGTCAGAGAGCAGAGTTCGCTAACATTGACATCGATGTCGACAAAGAGATGTTTGAAATCAATGTCTTCGGACTCATTAATTTGTCGCGAATTGCTTTGAGATATTTCCTTCAAAATAACATTAAAGGGCATCTCGTGGTCACTTCAAGTATAGCCGGAAAATCGGGTATTAATACAATCTCTTTAATTTATAAATCTTTAATAATAATAACAAATAATTATAATACGTTTATAAATATACATTGCCCAGGTGCTCCAAACTCGAGCTCATATTCTGCGACCAAACATGCCTTACATGTGAGTAATGAACTGAAATGGATTGATGTCTAATAAACTCATAAAACACTAATTGTTTCGCTAATAAAGGGTTACTTTGAAAGCGCTCGCATTGAGACCAAATCAAAGGGTATTTCAGTGACAATGTTATGTCCCGGACCTGTGGTCTCCCGGATTGCAGAGAATGTATTGACTGACAAAAAGGACAATAAATACGGTTCCGATGAAGGCAATTCAGCCAAAAAGATGAGAACCAACAGATGCGCTCATCTCATGGCTGTAGCCATCGCTAACCATTTGGATGAAGTAATTCACTCTTTTATTAATAAATAATTATTTAATAATTAAAATAATTAGTTATTTTAAAATATATTATTTTCTAATTGATATGATAGTCATGGATATCACCCCATCCTGTTCTGGCGTTTACTTATTTCATTCAATACTGGCCGACACTCTCCCGAAAGGTTTTTCCACGAATTTATTCACCGGAGAAGTGGAATCAAATGAGGAAATAAAAGCACAATTACTTCATAAATCTATCAGTATTTTAATATTTTCTTTATGCTTGTTAGTATTATTTTGCTTACATTATTCATAATTTGTTTAAAATACATAATTAATACATGATCTTAATTGAAAAATTATAAAAAGTATTAATAAAAAAATTACTATATTTATTAACATTTATAGTTGTGTTTTATAAGTATTTAATTTTCATAAAGTGAGTATAAAATGTAATTAATGAATAAGTTGTGTGAAAGTTGTGTGAAAAACATTTGACAACAACCAAAATTTTAAACATTTAGTTGACTTTAATTACAACTTTTCCAGTATTGCGTCCAAATTGCAGGTGCTATAGTACAATAAAGTATCATAGTAACATTTGTATTTTGGATAATATTTAAAAATAAATGCTAATAATTATATAATAATCATTACCTCCACTCCTCTGACCACAGAATCAATACCATTGAACTCTCCATCACCTGATTTGATGCCAAAATCCAAAACAATTCTCAATTTGTTGGTCACAACGTCTTCAACCAATTTTGTAAAATATTCAGTAAATAAATGTTTGTAACCCGACAATATAAACCCAGAAAGTGTCTGATTCTTCATTAAGAGCTTTAAAAAAATAATTTAATTAACAAAACAATATATAAATTATTATATAAAACATACAGTTGTCGGTAGATTCGGTATATTAGGGTCAGTAATGAAGTTGGACCCCTCGGTCTTATAACCAGTAATTCCGCCCACAATAATAAGTCGACCCCCTTCTGCCAAATGCTTGAATAATGTTTTGTATACCTGTCCACCAATCGTTTCCCAAACAACATCAATACCTTTCTATAGTTTCAAAGAATAAAAATATAAATTTTTGTAATTAATTTGTAAAATGATACAAGAATTAAGAATTTTATAAATAAAAACAAACCGGAAACTCATTGGTGAGCACTTCATCCAAATTTTCGGTCTTATAATTGATCACTCGATCGGTTCCCAACTCTTTCAACAGTTTTTCCTTTTCTGGTGTTGAGGTCAACCCAATAACATAAGCGCCCTTTTGTTTGGCCCATTGGACGGCTATATGTCCAGTTCCTCCAGCAGATGCTGTTATCAATACTTTCTCCCCTTTCTTAATGCGACCCAACTTTCAAACAAATCATTTATATTATTAATTTTAAAATGCATTAAAAAATTAATAAATACCTCATCCAAACCAATGGCTGCGGTTAACCCACAAACCAGAAGTGATATGAATTCTGGTTTAAGACTTGGAACTGGAATCACTTCATCAGGTTTGGCGTACTATTCAATCAAATTATTAATTTGTATTTGTTTTATAAAAAACATGAATAGTAAGCAAAATACTGACCACATATTCAGAGTAGGCTCTGGGAACTAAAGTAAATACCAACACATTTTGTCCCACTTTGTGTGTCTTAACATTGGTGCCAATTGATTCAATCACTCCCAAAGCCTAATTGATTTTGATAAAATAATAATTGAAGTAAATAAATTTAAATAAAATTAATTTCTCTGAAATCTATATAAAAACCTCTAATCCGATATCAAAGGGAACCTTTCCATCAGTGAAATAACGAGCGGCCGTTATATTAACGTCAGTGGCGTTAACGCCCGCATAGATCGTCTTCACCAGAATCTCGTCGTCCGAGGGCTTCACCAGAGGGACGCTCACCACTCGGACAGCCTCTCGGAAATTACAGGTCGTCTTGATTACTGACACCTTTTTATAATTTGTGGACATTTTAATTCAATTGACTTCAATCTTCAAAAGTAGATACTTGAATCGAAAATGTTAAGGAAACTACTGTAATGTGATTTCAACACAAATTCTGCGCTCTTTATATATGAGTGGAAATTATGAGGGGAATATCCCTTTCATTGAATGCATACAAACATCGTTTACTTCATTTTGCACTCTACGAACTGCACTGACAATCCTTGATTGCATTTAAGTCCTCCAGCACTTGATCTGGCTATTTAATAAAAATACATTTCTATAATACTGTACAGTAATACAATAGTACTGTAGTATAATGAAAACTAGAATGAGGTATACAGACTATTTATTGTAAATTCATATTTAAAATGTCTTTAAACAACCCTATTACCGTAATAACTTTGTGTATACATTATTTAAGAACAAACTGATACAAACATTTTTAAAAATTATACTCAGTGTTTTATTTGAATCATATGTAATTCAGTGATTCTTATGACATGAAGAATATATAATTTTATTATTAAAACATAACTTATTTTTGAATGATTTTTCAAAGAGAGTGATCCAAATCTTCGTATCTCTTGGCGTTTCGATTGAGAAAGGTTTGATATGTCTATTCAATAGTACCCTATGGGCCCTCCTAACACTACTATAGTTTGGTCCCATGCCCAAAAGTTTTATTTAATTTTACATACAAAACTTCAAATTAAATAAAAACTTTTGGGAATAGGACCAAACTATACATATTTTAAAATTCATTTAATTTAAACACAAATAGTATAATTTCAATTTAAAAATACACAATTTTTTTAAACCATGATACATTTTGGAATAATAATATTTAAATATTTGTCATTAAGTTAATAATTACAATAAAAATTTCAAATTATTTCAATATAATTCAACTTTGACCCTATTTACTAATTGAAGTAGTTGAAAATATTACCAAAAAATTGATTGTAATACTTTTACGGATTTTGTATTTGAATGACCACTTTTCCTATATTACGTCCAGAAAGCAAGTGCTAGTAAAAAACAAATATAAATTATTATTATTCATAATTCTTTATTGAAAATATATATAGCTAATAATATTCAATATAATAATCCTTACAACTTAACAGTAAGATTGTTAATAATTAGTTAATAATAAATAACTAAAAATTGTATTATAATTTTAAAAATATAGTTTAACTAACTTTTAAAAAGTGAACTTATAAGAATAAATGTGATTACAATAGATTTTCAAAAGCTATTATTTGATTTCTGATTTTAGTTCTGATTTTAATAAACATATAAAACATGAATACTACAAATAGTACCAAACATTTACCTCAACCCCTCTGACCACTGAATCAATTCCTACGAATTCTCCTTCACTTGTGTTTTGTCCCAAATCTAACACAACTCGCAGTTTATTGTTCACAACGTTTTCAATCAGTTTCGGTAAATATTTTGGAAATAATTCTCGATTTCTCCAAATGAAAAATCCCGAAAGCATTTGATTTCCTCTTATTAGCTAATCAAATATATTTTCAAATCAATAAATATTAGCTAATCTGTTAAATGTTTATTAATGTAAATATAAATCATACTCTGGTTGTAAGATCGGGAATATTAGTCTGCGTGGCCTCCCCTTTATAACTAGACGTGCCGCCAATAAGTACCAAACGACCCTTTGGTGCCAAATGATTGAATAAAGTCTCAAATACTTGTCCACCGATTGTCTCCCAAATCACATCCACTCCTTCCTATAATAAAATATAATAATTTAATTTTTGCATCATTTATTATAAGATAATATTGATACCGGAAACTCTTTAGTGAGTACTTCATCCAAATTCTCGGTCTTATAATTGATCACTCGATCGGTTCCCAACTCTTTCAACAGTTTTGCCTTTTCTGAGGTTGAGGTCAACCCAATAACATAACATCCCTTTTGTTTAGCCCATTGAACAACCATCATACCGGTGCCACCAGCAGCTGCTGTCACTAATACTTTATCATTCCTCCTAATATAAGCTGCCTTTTGTCGATAAATATAATTAAATGTGATTTGAATTAAATTGAATAATAAATTGAGTGATACCTCATCCAAACCAATAGAAGCAGTCAATCCACAGACTGGTAATGATATCAACTCAGGCTTAAGACTCGGAACTGGTGTTAAGTCCTCTCTATTGGCGTACTTTTCAAATAACAAAGTTATAAATAAATAATAATTGAAATTAAAATACAAACTATGTATTCCGCATATGCTTTAAAACTAAAATCAATGCCAAATACGTAAAGAACTGTCTGTCCAACAGTTAAATCTTTGACATCTTTGCCAACAGCTTCTATGATACCCAATGCCTGACAAATTAATAATTTTAAAATTATTAATGATTAAATATATTTTTCATTAATTTTCATTAAGCAATACAAAGATTTTCATATCTAATAAATATCTAATATTACAGATAAAAAATAAATACATAAATAATAAATAGGATTAAATAAGAAAAATATAACTAGATACTTCATATCCAACTCCAGTAGAGAACTCAAACGTGAGAACATCGGTGGCGTTAACGCCCGCGAAGATTGTTTTCACCACAATTTGGTGATCCAGTGGTGGCACCAGTGGTTCACTCACTACTTCCACCGCTTCCCTAAAGTTTATCGTCTTTTTAATTATTGATAACTTTTTATATGTTTTAGACATTTCTATACTTTATTCGCAACTATTGTATTTAAAATATACCACTTTATGACTTAAAGTAAATATTATTTTCATGTTAAGAGCTTTTTATATAATTTTCAATCGTGTACTAAATGATAAACAAATTGCACACGATTTTCAGTGCATAATACACTCTCTATGATAACATAGCATTCGGTCGTTTCGGTCTTATTTAACGGTTTATTATTAGAGTTAATATAAAGTGTTATTGCTATATAACTAAAGCACCGGTATTCCACTGTAAACGGTCGTCCTTCACAATTATTCAGTATTCAAATGTATAGAAATGAATTGTACAAAATCACAACCAGTTATTTCAATACTTCAAAAGTTATTTATTAAATGTTATTCTGTGTTTAATATTTAATGTGCGATATTTATTAATTATGTAGTTTTTGCATACACTGTAAAATAATTTGATACTTTTTTGATAATAGTTTTTTAGGTTTGTTTAATTTAATTAATATTTATAATATAATTATTAACTATTGAGCTGTTTATTATTATATGACTACAAATATATAAAACTATAGAGAAGAAATTATAAAATACGTTAAAATAATTAATATAACAATTTTGTTGATTCTTTTTGGTTTCATTGATCTTGGATTTTGATGACAACTTTTCCCACGTTTTTACGACTAAACAAATGCTGTTTACAAATTAAAATAGTACAAATATTTAATTAAAATTGAGATATGATTTGTTTGTTAATATTGTATTTGTTAATATGAAAACAGTTTACCTCCACCCCATTCACCACAGAACCAATTCCTATGAATTCTCCTTTACTTGATTTGAGTCCAAAATCCAACACAACTCGCAATTTCTTTGTCATAATGTCTTCAATTAATTGTGGCATATATTGTGGCAACAAATGCATGTCACTGTCTTACTTCCTAATAATAACTAATTACACAAAACTAATTATTATTTATTTTTGTTATAATTAAATAGTCATAAGAAGTTAGACCTGATAAGAAAGGTTAGGTATATGGACATCAGGAAAACCAACATTTTCGTAGCCACTGGTGCACCCAAATATAACTAGTCGTCCCTTATTTGCTAAATGTTTGGTATATCTCTCCGCCAATTGTCTCCCAAATTATATCAATGCCTTCCTATTTATTCAATGAATCAGAAATTTATGAAAAGTGTTCATAAAATTATAAAAATAAATTATTAAACCGGAAACTCTTTAGTGAGCACTTCATCCAAGTTCTCGGTCTTATAATTGATCACTCGATCGGTTCCCAACTCTTTCAATAGTTTTACCTTTTCTTCCGATGAAGTCATTCCTATAACATAACAACCCTTATGTTTAGCCCATTGAACAGCTATATGTCCCACACTACCAGCCGGTGCGGTTATCAATATTTTATCACCACTTTTAACATTACAAGCCTTTTATAAAATACAACTTAATTTTAATTTTACACTCGTATAATTTGTATTGTATACTGAATACCTGGTCTAAAGCTATACGAGCTGTAAGACCATTGCTGAGCAAAATAAGCTCCGGCATTAGACATGGCATAGGTATTAATTCCTCTGGTTTGGCGTACTTTAATTGGTATAATAAATTTATATAATGATGAGATTATCAAGTTAGATTATCAATTAAATACGGACCAAATATTCAGTATAAGCACTGGGCTTTGAACCAAACCATACACACGGCTGTCCCACTTTTAATGACTTAACATTTTTGCCCAACACTTCTATAACTCCAAAAGCCTTTGTATTCCGAAATAACAATTATTATTTAATTGAGCGCATAATTTGAAAGCGTTTTGTTAACTAACCTCAAGTCCGACATCATGAGGGACTTGGAGCTGATCGCTGAATACCCGACCGGCCGTCACATTAACATCAGTGGCGTTGACGCCGGCAAACACTACTTTCAAAACTACCTGATCATCAGTTGGTGGCACGAGAGGCACCTCCACTACTTGGACCGCTTCTCTAAAGTTTGTCGACTTTTTAATAACTGTCAACTTTTTGAATGTTTTGGACATTTTATTATAAAGGATAATTATTTACAAAAAAATACGGAATATATATAAATTATAATATTTGATGTAAATATTTCAGATAATAATTATAATTTAACGATAATTTAATGTCCAATAAGGTTTTGATGATTAAATAATACCGGTGTATATTCTATGAAAACAGATTGAAATTATAAATTCAATAAAAAACATGCGAAAGAATATATTGGTATCAATTTCCAAAGGAGATCGTCCAATTCTGCCTAAGCTGGCAATCGGGATTTTTTGATTGGATATGAAGGTTTATTCAACGAGGAGTCCGACTATGTAATTTATATTGTCCTGTGACCTCGGGTTCGGCCGCAGTGACCACTTTTATCGGGAAAAGTTTTATTGAAAATATTAACATACGATATATGAAATCAGTGTAGAATCTAACGTAGAATAAGAATATCTTACTCAAAATATTTTAGACAAGTTTTAAAAAGAAATCTGTTAATAAATTATAAATTCAAGGTTTTGTAAAAATAAAATAAGATAACTGAACACCCACCCACTGTCCTCCACAATCCCACCACCAGCCCCCTCAAAACACCCCTGCCAAAGTCTAATGTCACATGTTATTGTTATTACGTCGATTTAATTAATAAAATAGGGATTTTTTTAATAATTTTATTAATAAAGATAGATATAAAATAATTTATAATCAAAATATAATAAAACTCATTCTATAAGAATTAGATGCAATTTAAGATCATTGATTTAATATATTATATGTTAATATTTCCTTTAAAAATTTTCTCTATAAAAGTGGTCACTGCGGTCGAACCCGAGGTCACAGGACAATATAAATTATATATTCGGACTCAGCATTGAATGTTCTTTCATATCCAACCAAAAAATCCCGATTGCCAGCTTAGGCAACTTAACGTACCCATTGAACAGGCTCCTTTAAACCTTTAAGAGAATATTAAAAATCTATATTTATTTGTTTAAAAAATTCTCATAATTAAATTATATTTTAATATGTTGTAGTTTTAATTAAAAACAAGTAATTTTAAAAATAAGTTAAAACAAGTTTTCAAAAATACTTCATTTATTTAATATAGTGTATTAATAAAATGCCTAAACAAATCATCTTAAATGTTGATATGTTGTAGAATTGATTTTAAATTCTTGTATTTTAAGGATCTTGTATTTTGATGACAACCTTTCCAACATTGCTTCCGGAATGTAAATGCTATGCAATCATAATAACTTATTAATTAATTTCCAGTTCATTGAATAATTTAATTAAAGTAATGGAGTTGGGGAGACTGGTGACTTAGTTAAGGAAACTTAAGAGGAAGTGAACTAAAAACAGGGTTTAGATTGTGTTGAGCGTTAGATAACGAGTGTTGCAGAAGTTGGTTAACGAAGTTTATAATGGGAAACAAATCGCTATAACCAGTCAATAGGAAACCCGTGAGACTTTGATTTCCCATTAATAACTGTTAAATATATTTTACATATTATCTTATCAATTTATTCAGTATTAGGTTTTATTATTAAATTACCTTGGTCGGCAAATTGGAAATGGTTACATCAGGCATGCCATCAGTTTTATAACCAGTGATACCGCCCACTATAACCATACGACCCTTTGGTGCCAAATGCTTAAATAAAGTCTCATAAACTTGTCCTCCGATTGTCTCCCAAACAACGTCCACTCCTTTCTGTTAAATAAATGTTACGGTCATAACATTTGAGAGCAAAAACTTTTTATTAAAAGTGTGTAAAACCGGAAACTCTTTAGTGAGCACTTCATCCAAGTTCTCGGTCTTATAATTGATCACTCGATCGGTTCCCAACTCTTTCAACAGTTTTGCCTTTTCTTCCGATGAAGTCATGCCTATGACATAACAGCCCTTTTGTTTACGGGTAACCTGGCGTTATACTGGCCAAGGAGGACGTCTCCGACATTAGTCGTGAAATAGTGGAAAAACTTATGCAGGCGAGATAACATATTAGCCATATAATTTATTTATTTAAAATGTTTTTGTGTAATTGATAAATACTTCATCCAAACCAATGGTTGCGGTTAACCCACAAATCAGAAGCGAAATAAACTCGGGTTTAAGACTTGGAACTGGAATTACTTCATCGGGTTTGGCGTACTTTGGATTCAATATAAATATTTAGAAGTTTTTTAATGAATTAAAATATATTCATAATTACCATATACTCGGCATAAGCTCTCGGCACTAATCCAAACACAATGACTGGTTGTCCCACTTTATGAGAGCTCACATTCTTGCCAACAGCCTCTATAACACCCAACGCCTGCCAATACAATTCAATTAATATAAAGTTTAAATGAAATATTCAATCAAAATACGAATTAAGAATATTTTCACAAGAATTTAATACAAATTCATTGAATAACCTCTAGTCCGACATCAAAAGGTAGCTTTCCATCAGTGAAATAACGGGCGGCAGTTATGTTGACATCAGTGGCGTTAACACCGGCGTAGATATTCTTGACGAGGATCTGGTCGTCAGCGGGAGGAACCAGAGGTGTGTCCACTACTTTGACGGCTTCCCGAAAGTTTGGTGTAGTCTTGAAGCATGACAACTTCTTATATGTTTTCGACATTTTTATCAACTTTTAGAACTGTTTCTAGAATTTATATAAAAATGACAGACAATTTTTATACAATATTTGATGTGTTGTAAATACAATAAAACTAAACACCAGTCACAAACTAAAGTGTACAGTATATCGGTTAGACTGATAACAGTTATGAGGCTAGTTTTCAAGGATTTGAGTGCTATTCAATCATAAAGGCCCCTGCAAATAACACTCAAACTATGTTGAATGAAAATTATGTTTTCGACATTTTTATCAACTTTTAGAACTGTTTCTAGAATTTATATAAAAATGACAGACAATTTTTATACAATATTTGATGTGTTGTAAATACAATAAAACTAAACACCAGTCACAAACTAACAGTCACTTCAGAAATTACTTTCAATGCCATTCAATTGTCTGCTATTTATATACAGTGCAGTTTTTCATTCAACATAGTTTGAGTGTTATTTGCAGGGGCCTTTATGATTGAATAGCACTCAAATCCTTGAAAACTAGCCTCATAACTGTTATCAGTCTAACCGATATACTGTACACTTTAGTTTGTGATAATAATGTATGTATAATAGTTGCTCTAAGAATGTACTGAAAATTTGAACAGTAATAAGCAATTATTGTTATAAACCGTGTAAAGCCGTGAATATTGATTTCTTTCTAGAATTAGTCACAATTGTACAAAATATGACAGGTCTTTTTAATATAAATTCCTTTTAAAATAAAATTTCTTTTTCTATTCATAGTATAATAATTTGAATCAAATTCTATAAGTCAAATTAATTATAAAAATTCACTTCATAGAGCACTTATGGTTTTAATTTTGGAAACACCAATCATTTGATTCATAAACAAATGATAATATTTACTAAATAAATACAACCTTGGTTGTGTCTTGGTTGTTTCTTTAATGTAAAATACTTATATAAGTTAATACTTATCAAAATTATATAACTGATAAAGATTGTGTTAAATGTCATAGACATATAATATATAAATAAATGTATTATTATAAAAAGTACGGTATATTAAAATCATATTTTAACTATAAATTCTTAATAGTTAGTTAATTGTTTATAATATCTATATATATATAATATATATTATATTTGGTTTAGTTATTGCTAATAATTATATGACAACAAACTGATTAAAGTTATTTTCAGTCTGTTTATTAAGTATTTTGAGTGCAAATCTAAAGGCACTACATTTAAATAACATTAATCCTACTAAACCAGAATGAATTAAAAGCACAGTTTACTTTGTTTCTCTATTTCTTTACTTTGTGTCATTTCATATTGCAATGAGATTTTTATATTTTAAAATTTACAAACCATTTATTTTTATTTTAAATACAAAATAAGACAAAATAGTTTTATTTATGGTTCTTGTATTTTGACCACAACTTTGCCATTACTGCGACCGCTGTGTAAATGCTATTTAATAGATATAAAGAATATTACTGTTAAGAGACAATCGTATCAATTAAAACCAGTGATCAATGGTCTCACCTCAAC